ATATGATAGTTCCATAATAACAAACTAATAAAAATCTAATCGGCCAAGGAAGTGGCCTTAATAACAAAAAAAAAATATATATATATATAAAAATATAATAATAAAATAAAGAAAATAACTAAATTTTACCAGTAGTGATTTTTCTAGTACCCAGTGCATATATGATAATTAAATATGTGCTACATATATTTGTGTATTACAAACATATATATTAATATATAAAATCAGTTTATTTTAACAGACTTTGACAGATGCAGGAGTAATCAAATGATGCAATAAATAATAGAGTCATAAATAAATAGGTAATAGTAATCAAATTTCTTCTTTTACTTATTCACTTAACATAAAACAATTTAAACTTTCTTGTCAACGATACGTATATACTATTAAGTAGGACAATATCATAATATTTCATTTATAATCAAACCAAACACCAAAATTTTCTCTTTATATTATAGCTTACGTGAAAATATCATAATTCAAGATGATAATTATAGTTGTCTTTCTTTGTCCCCTGAAGCAAGTTCCTCTTTGTCTCATATCAGACGTGAAAATAATATATTCCAAGATGATGATATTAATTTTTTCTCTATACTACCTGAGACTAGTTTTATTTTTTCTTATACTGAATATGATACTATGACTCAGAACAATAATAATAATTATTCCTCTTTAATTTCTGTGACAAGTTCTTCCCTAAGTTTTTCTGAGGATAAAGATATGCTAGAAGAACTGTAATATTATTTGTTTGATTCAGATTCTAGTGAAGACCCTAATGAAGCTAATTTACAGGTCATCATTAGTCAGTCTTTTCAAACGTAGAAAGATGTGAAAATGTTTTTTAATGATTACAGCAAGCAACAGAGGTTCAGTATTCATAGAAGAAGAATTGATAAGCCTATTAAAAATGGTAATAAGGTAGTTAGAAGGGTAGGATAGAAGTGTGCTTATTTAGGAAAATACTAGCTAAAAAAAAATGCTGATTCCTAACAGCAAAGAAACAAGCTCTCTAAAGTAACAAATTGCGAATAGCACATCAATAGAAATATGCCTAAATTAGCTACTATGTTTTTATTTACTACTGTTATTGATACCTATAATTATTCAATGATACTGTCTTCCTCAATAAATATACTCAAATATCGTAAATTAGGTAGTAATATGATTGAGTTTATTGAATTTTGTGTCTTACATGATACTACTGAAGTCTAAAATATTTGTAACCTTTTAAGAAGGAAGTTTCCTAGTAGAAAAATATACTAAAAAAACCTTTACAATACTATCCAAAATGCAAAAAAAAAAACTAATTCTCTTCTAGAATTTGATACTTCGAATATGCTATGTTATCTGTATGATTAAAAAAGTATAGATCCTAGTTGGTTCATTGAACTAAAGTTTGATAATCCTGAGTGTTATCTATGTAAAATCGTATAGATATTACTTGAACAATAATATGTTTGAACATATTATCATGATATAATTTTTTTTGATACAACCTTATGTACAAATAAGTACAATATGATAGCTTGTTTTTTGTCACTATTAATAATTGCAATCGTATATATTTGATTACTACTACACTTTTAGAAGATGAGACCCAAGAATTATTTGTGTAGGCTTTAGCAATGATCAAAAAATGTATGAATAATACTATGCCTCAAGTAATATTCACTAATTGTGATCTTGTTATGGCAAATGCTATTGCTCTTGAATTTCTTAATTCAGTTCATTGTTTGTGTATATATTATCTTGAAGTTAATTTAAAAAAAAATCTTTATGAGAAACTTCAATCTGGAGAATTTCAGCATTTTGAAGCTGATTTTTTTCTTTGTCATAATACATTATCGATCAGCCTTTTTGAAAGCCAATGGGAATCCTTAAAAATGAAGTATCTTTTTGCAATTAAATATATAAATCAGTAATTAGAACCTGTAAAATCTAAATGGGCTATTTGTTATACTCACAATCAGTTTACTGCTGGTACTAATACAATACAATGTGTGGAAAGCCTTAATAAAAAAGTATATGATTGTGTACAAAAAAAAAATATCTCTTTTGAATCTTGTTAAAGAAATTCAAGAACTTTTTAATAGAGAATCAGAATATATATAGATAGAAGAATATAAAGACCAAATACCGTTTGTTGGATTAGCAATAGTTACAAACTGATTTTTGAACAAATTGAATCAGTAGTAAATAAATTTTTTATGCATTCTATAGCTATAATCATGTCTTAGCAAATATGAGAATACTTTTTTTATGATGTTTTTAAGGTAGATAATATGAACTATGATAGTTCTATTAAGGTAAAGTAGAGAAGTTTTTTTTTTTTTTGGACTATAAGTATCCTAACTATTTATATATTAAAGAGTCAAATAGATCAAGATTATAATGAAAGAGTATAGGAGGATAATTATGAAACCTCTAAAATTCTTTTTGAGGAAATTCTTTCAACAATCGAGCCAACAAATATTATAGAAATTTTGCATATAACAATCTCTAGTGATTCAACATCTCACTATATTGTTTTAATATCTGATGGCTCTCATAGATGCATATGCAATCTTTTAGTTACTCACAGATTTCTCTGTAGACATTTCTATAAGGTTTTACAATGTTTATTTAGAGCTCAATAGTACATAAAACTAATT